ACTATCTTTAGTGCAAACACAAGTACATAGATCTAATTGTAGTTTTTATGTATTTTACCCATACGAAGGTAGAAAATTGAAATTATAAAGTGAAAACATAGGTATATCTTTATGAATGAATAAATGAAAGAATAAAGTCATAAATGAACAAATAAATGAAAGATAATACACACAACGAAGAGATAACGGGATGAATGAAGAAAAAAGGAGTGTAATCAATGAACCTTTTTTAAACGACTCTTTCAATATTCGTTATGGAATGTGTACCCTAACGAATAAAGAAAAAAACAGAATAGAAAAAACCAGAGACTTGAAGGAGCCGGATTGCCCATCTGTCAATTCAGTCCCGTCACGTGACATAAAGATGACCCCTAACCCTTACCCTAGACAAACGTATAATTACAATATTTTACATTGATCTTGTATTGCCTTAAAGTTACTGTCTACCTTAATTTGTTTTAAAAAAAAAATTAAAAAAAAGCCTGCTAGAATTTGTCAAAAATGTGTAAGGGCAGTAACTCCTATAAAAAGTGGCTTATTGGTTTTAGTTATTGGCATTTTTTTTAAAGATATTGTATTGCTGATAATTTTCTGCTGTCTACAATAGTTTTTAAGATAGAAAGCAACATCAAAGTTTTTGTAAAAAATCCTTGGTTTTTGATTTTTTTGGGGTTTGTGCATTTCTTAAGAAGGTAAAGCCAAAAAAGTGCTTCGGACACAAGAAATGTATTAAGTGTTGTTTTAATTTACTAGCACATGATTGAAACTGCTGCTGGTGGACTGCTAGTCCAAGAAGTTTCATCAGCTCAATAGTCAGTGCTTCTGTACTGAAATGATTTATATCATATTTTATTTTTGGGGTTTAAGCGTTCCTGGTGATGGTAGAGCCGTAAAACGCGATTCGGACGCACGAAATGTTATTTTCATTATTAGTAGTCAATAAATTGTTTCAGTCATTTTGCATTTTGTAAGTTTGTATTGCGATTATTTTTGAAGTTCTCACATTCTGTCTATCCATTATAGATTTAAAAGTAATAGGCAAACATGCTAAAATCATCATTGAATTTAATCATACAAGAGATCTATTTGTTTTTTTCCAATTATATTGGGAGTTTATTTTTATGCCCCACCTAGTGACATTATGTTTTTCGGTCTGTGCGTCCGTTCGTTCGTCCGTCCGTCTGTCTCGCTTCAGGTTAAAGTTTTTGGTCAAGGTAGTTTTTGATGAAGTTGAAGTCCAATCAACTTGAAACTTAGTACACATGTTCCCTATGACATGATCTTTCTAATTTTAATGCCAAATTAGAGTTTTGACCCTAATTTCACGGGCCACTGAACATAGAAAATGATAGTGCGAGTAGGCAGATTAAAGTTTTTGGTCAAGGTAGTTTTTGATGAAGTTGAATTCCAATCAATTTGAAACTAAGTACACATGTTCCCTACGATATGATCTTTCCAATTTTAATGCCAAATTAGAGTTTTTACCTCAATTTCACGGTCCACTGAACATAGAAAATGATAGTGCGAGTGGGGCATCCGTGTACTATGGACACATTCTTTTCTATAAATCTTGTATTGCTGACGATTTGCTTTTACTGTTTATTTTCATCTATTATAGTTTTCAAGGTAATGGACAAAAAAGCGTTTAAAATTCAGTTAAATATGTCAATTAAGGGCGATTGCCCCAATAAGCAGTCGATTGACTAATTGTTTTAATCTTTTGCATTTTTGTTGATATTTTAGTAGTTAAGGTCATTTTGCTGTTTACAATTTATGTCTTTCTATGGCAGTTTTCAAGATAATATGCAGAAATCGTATAATTTAGAAAATCTATTATTAGAGGACAATAAAATCTGATTGAAATACAGATCATGTATCCATGTTTTGCTTGAAGAGTTGTTATAATGGGATCACCTGTTTCACAGATAATTTATTTTAAATATTTAATGTCGGACGACGACCGTAAAGTGATTGTGAAAACCCTTTAGCTGCACCCAGATAAGCTAGAGAAGTAGCTTGAATGCATGGTTGAAATACACACTAAATAGATAGATTAATAAAAAATCAAGTGAACGAATAAATGAATCAATCAATCAACAAAACAATCAATTAACCAATCAATCATTGACAGTTATCCAACTAGAACTGAACAAACGGTTATTCAAGTTAATTGGAATGTTGAATAAAGTGAAAATAAAAAGGAACACATTTCGTTCAGAAAAAAAGCATGTTAGACGCAGATATGTCAATACATAATCAATAAACGACAATGCCATGGAGTATTACGGAGTATCACAACAATTAGGAATAAATAAATTGTTCGATGCATACTGGAGTTATTCAGCACCATGCATGAGCAAATAGAAAGCGTGATAGCCAAAGCAAAGAATTCCGCTCGAGCCAATGCCAGGGTCCGTTTTGAATTTCAGTGAGGTCTGATCTTTCACTTTATGTGTAAGTCATCTCTGTGAAATTTAGATGAAGGACAGCAATAATAGCGCTGATCCTTGATTTTATTTTATTTGTCAAGTGCGTGAAATGATTTTGCTTCGTTGACGAGGAGCGGAGTACGATAACCGTCAGTTTAATATTAACATAGTAATTTCAGTTAACCAAAATAGAAACATAGAGGTCAACATAGAGGTCATCATGTGGCATTTAACGATGGACACAAGAACCCTAAATTTAAATCAACCTAAATACAGTTTTTGAATAGATTATCTGAAATGGTTCATTTTCTGAAATAAACAGCAAATTTAAGTACGTCATACACTCTAATACCCGCCACTGTACTTCTGCGTTACTTGCATACAGTAATGGCATAACATGTATGAAACACGACGCACTAAACACGTTCAAAAATCCATGTAAAACACATAAGGACAACAATTAGATAATTTATATCACAATTTAATCATACATTAATATAATTGGATTACAAATGATAAACGTCACATAGAAAACAACAACACATCACTAATATGAAAAAAGAATCTTAAAAGTTGTAAAAACAGCAAAATAATATGGCTATTGTATATATTTCACAGGTACTTGGGCACAAGACATTCCCCCCCCCTCTTTTCTCCAAAGAGAGTAGAATCTATATATATATTATCATTAACCGCTGTGGATTATAAACACGCATTTTTAGTATATTTGTGTTAATATGATACAGAAAAAAAAACACGAAAATAATTGAAATTAAGAGAAAATTCGAGAAATAACGGATTTTGGAAAAAGGGATATATAGGGCAAAACAAAAATTGTGCTGTCCCCAAGTACATGTGATATATTCTATACCAGAATCATATCTATAAGAAACCAAATCTGATAAAATTCAGATCTAATGTAACTAGTTTACTAATACGAGCATAACGAAATCAGAGAATTTTATCATTTTAGATTGTCAGAAACCGAAACCAGTTTAGAGACAAAAAATATGATCATAAGATTACTACTTGTTCCTATATAATATTGATCAGTACATATACAGTAGGATAGCGGTCAAAATGAATTCTCAATAAGACTAAAAGAAAAGAAAGTGGGTACTGTACAATTATAGTAAAAGCCTAAATTAAAAGCATATATAGTTAACTCTCGTTGTCTCGAACTCGGTTGACTCGAAATTTCGGATGAGTCGAAATTTTCCCGTGGACCCGAACTTTGTTCCATATAAATACATGTATTTCGACTCCTGATGAGTCGAAATTTAGGTTGTGTCGAACTAAATGCGGGAAAATGCATCATAACTCTATAATTTGACCTTTTAAAAAAATTGTGGATTTCACACTAATAATTCAGGTCATTTTTCTTTATTGAAACTTCAGAGTAAAAGAGGAAGAGTTTTAAGCTGAGATGAATTGCTATGGGAAATTACATTGTCTATTTTAAGTGCAACCAAGACGGTTGAAATATCCGGATTATAAGTATATAGAACACACAATACTAAAGCAAACGTAACCATGGCAACTTTATGAAACTTTCACATATTATTTTCGTTGTTAGATAAGATAATAAAAATATAAAATGATATTTTTGGATTTTGGAATATTATGTCTATTTAATCAGTATATAAGTAGTACATCAGCGTAACATACGTATAAAACACATCTGACCACAACAAACGTTCACGAACATCTCAATTACATGACCGCATGCAAAAAAGGTCTTAATATATAAAATACAAACGTTGACCAACATATCTTATATAAAATACAAACGTTGACCAACATATCTTATATAAAATACAAACGTTGACCAACATATCTTATATAAAATACAAACGTTGACCGTCGGCCAACACATCTTATATAAAAAAGCAACAAACTATTTTCACTTGTCTTTCAAATACAATTTCTAAATTATTCGGCCAAAAGCTCCTTAGAGCTTACAAGTGTTTGTATTTTAACTTGTGCCGAATCAAAATAATTTTTTTCTTATCTAATATATTCAAGAAATCCGCAAATAATAGGTTAAATTTTCCATTCCATTTTTCTTATATTTGATTAATTGGAATATAAAACTAACAACTCGCTTCTTTTCTTTCCGCCATACAACAATTGTGTCATAAGGATCCGAACATTAGCGTCATATCTAGCTTAGAATTTAAGAAAAAGAAAACAAATACAGAAATTTTGCCGGCATTCGGCTGATTTCTATTCCAAAAATACAAAGGAGAAACTTTGCATACGACTACATGCATGTCATTATTGAACATAAGTACATGTTATATCAGATAGCATCAACACTGTTTTTTGTGAAGACCTATACGTTCCTGACTGAATATGAAACCCTCTACATGATATTTATGTAAATCGTGGATACTGATTTAGCTTCGTTTCCAATATACATAAACAATCGGAAATACATGTTCACATTCTGTAATATATGAGCTATATTAACACTCTCGTTGCTATAGAAGCAGCCGATATTTATTAAACGTAAAATTCCTGACTAACTTGTTTTATAAGAAAATCCATTCCATCTACTTGCTCCCCCCCCCCCCCCCACAATTTCACTGACTTTTTGTATGTGTTGTTTGATTTGTCACGTGGTTGGTGTTTAGTTCTGGTTCCTGGTCTTCCGAATCTTGCTCTTTCTCCAGACCACACAGTTCTAAACTGAGATCCCATAATTTACGGCATTGCTCCTTGTCACGCAAACTCTCCGGAAATGAACCGACGTTGCATTCAGAAAACAGTCTGCCTGAAAATTTCTTCAAGCCATTAGAGACAGCACAATAAACAATTGTCTGACAGCCATCGTCAGGAGATTTGAACAATATCCTGGATGCCACACGAAGGACTTGTCCAAAAATTCCTGGCCAGCTCCTTAAAAGATCTGTACAAACAGCACCTGTAAATAATTTTTTATATGATCTTAATTTCAACCTTTCTGGCTTATTCAAATTAAATCTTCATTTTGAATGTTTTTATCAATCCGGGATCACATGGTGTAACATTCTGGAAGTAACTCTGTAAGCATAACCCACTCTTCATATTCCTCAAGGGGAGGAACATTTGATATTCTGGGGTCAACATGATTTTAGAAATGAAAATTCTGGCCTGGTAATAACTGAAAAAATAACCGTACCCTATAATGAATGAAGAACACTCGCGAAAGTGAAAACCCCTGTACCTAGAATATCAAATTGTCGTCCCCTTACATGTCATTGTTTTGATGCTGACGCAATCATTACTTATAGTTGATCTTTTAGATCTGCCTGCAGGAGTATTTTTTGCGGACCGACAATTCATTTTGTTCTAATGCTGTGTATGCTTAAATATTTTTTCTGCTCGAAAATTATTTCAATTTTTGTATACAATAATTTCCTGCATTTTGTGTTACAGATTATACATTTCCTTCCTGTCTTGGGCAAAGTCGTCTATTTTCAGCTCTTACCAGGCCAAGGTATTCATCTTGACCCCTCCCCCCCCCCCGCCACTGAAAATCAAATGGTCGCACCCTTAGGTTGCCATTAGCAAATAAGCAACAGATAACATAATTGAGCATTCACTGATGAGTAATCTGGACCATGACCACTTTAGTTAACTTCGATTTTTGATGGGGTTCCGCGCTTCATGCAAATTGTGCTTTGGTCAACGCTTTTACACCCCAATAAAATTACAAAAAGAAGCATTAAAGTCTTGAATATAGTACTGCGTATTGCAAGATCATATCTATAGATATGGTTTTCCTGTTTGAATGGTTTTACACTAGTAATTTTTTGGGGCCCTTTATAGCTTGCTGTTCGGTGTGAGCCAATGCTCCATGTTGAAGGCCGTACCTTGACCTATAATGGTTTACTTTTATAAATTGTAACTTGGATGGAGAGTTGTCTCATTGGCACTCATACCACATCTTCCTATATCTAGTTAACTTTAAAAGCTGGAGTGTTTTCCCTTATATATTTTAGTCGTGGTAGGTAGATACAGAAAATATGCCAAACTTATCTAACGGTATATAAAATATGTTTATCTCTTCGATACACAAATTAATCGGTATTTGGTTTCTTGTCTGTTGAAACAAGAAGTAACGAAATCTAAGTTGAATAAAGTAGCTATACGATTAACTAAAGATGCTGAATATTAACAGAAAATTAACATTGGACAAGCAAGACTATCAAACCAGAAAAAAAGTCAGAGTGAAAATTGTCACCTAAGTAGTGTTAATAGGGATCGAATAAACATATGTCATACAGCATAAAATAGTGTCTACAAGGTAAAATAATTGGAACTTATAAATTTCGAAAATATTTGCTGTTCTCAAAATGGAAGATGTCGCCGAATACGCCATTTAAGTTAACAGGTTGTAAGCAATTTTTAATCATATCCATTGAAACATTTTAATCCTACACATCAATGCTCTTCATTAATACTTAACAGTTCCTTCGGTCCAAAGTTGTGTTTTCTTACCATTGTGTCAGCTTGCTGATAAAAAACAAAGACGAACACAAAGTCGAAGAACAGCAATAAAAGCGCTGTGTTGAAGGCTTCACTATGACTTTGAGATGATGAACAGCAATAAAAGCGCTGTTCCTTTGGCTTTTGTGTTTGTTTTGCTGTGTATGTAATGATTTTGTGTCATGGATGAACACGCTATATCCTTTCTTTTCTCTTACAAAACATATTTCATAAAGATTTACAAATGTAGAAATTACGATTTTTTCGGAATATATTTGAACTTTTGTTATATAAAAGGAGATCATCTAGGATAGAAATATCTTTATATGATCCAATTAATACTTTGATTTGGAAATGACATTTCGAAAAGAGTAAAGCCGATAAATGCATCTTATTGAATCCGTTAACAGGATAATGACCCTCTTCTAGGTCAATATGTTAACATACTGTTCATTGTGTAGTTTATTCTGATTAAATGTCATCAGTGTATATTTTATAACCGTTTAATTGTGTTTTCCATTATTTTATGGTTTTAATATCTCATTATTTTCAGTCTTGACAGTGTTAAAACTTCATATGGTCAGATTTTTTAATAAACCGGCCAATGATCTGTCATCTTACTCGGATTAATAACGATAACTGTAAAACTAATTGTTTATATGTACAGGGTAGATTTGTAAGTCTAAATTGAAAACAACGTTCAAACCTATGATTGCGTTGGATAAAAACCGCAATTTTTATACGTGTGCATGCAAAACAAATTTCTTGGTAGAGGGGTCTAAATACAGCATACAAGGTAGATTTGTATATATATATAAATTGTATTCGATGGAGTTTTATCTTTTCATATGAGTAAAAGGAGATGTTGGATAAGCGATAACGATACAGCAACCCAACAGTATAAAAGAGAAACACATTGATTCCTATCCGGATCTATAGATTCTTTGAAATAACAAACGGTTTTGTCGAAGGTTATGTAAAACATAAAATAATATTAATAAGCAATAATAAAAGTGTTTGTGGTTATTTCGTGTCAATCTATATTTTTTTCTTTCAAAAACATCTATCGAATTTCCCTTCTTTTATTAAAATCAATTTTATATATTTCTAGGGGGCTACTCATTAAAACTTACAATAAAAATAATAAAAACAAGAAATGACTGTAACAGGATGCTGTTACGAAGTCTCCCAAACGAAGCTCCCATAATTCGTAATTCCCAGGGTCGCCTGACATTGGGCAACTTCCAGTGAAAATTGGTTTGGTCCAGTAAAGTTACATGCATTAGTGATGCCTGGGGACTAACCTTGTATATCATTCAAATCATCTTGGCATGACAAACCAGAATATATATGGTTTAGGGGTGGGGATCTCGACCATTTACAAGATACTAGAACATTGGGGGTGGGGAGGAACCCCTGGGGACTGGCCCTATACGTCATTCAAATGTTCATTACATGACGAACAGGAATATATATGGTTTAGGGGTGGGGATCTCAACCATTTACAAGATATTAGAACATTGGGGGTGGGGGGACCCCTGGGGACTGACCGTATACGTCATTCAAATGTTCGAGACATGACAAATAGGAATATATATGGTTTAGGGGTGGGGATCTCAACCATTTACAAGATATTAGAACTTTCTCAAATGGCAGGGGGTGGGGGTGACCCCTGGGGACTAACCCTGTATTTCATTTGATGTGCTTTATCATGACAAACCAGAATATATATGGTTTAGGGGTGGGGATCTGAACCATTTACAAGATATAAGAACTTTCTTAAATGGCAGGGGGTGGGGGTGACCCCTGGGGACTAACCCTGTATTTCATTTGAAGTGCTTTATCATGACAAACCAGAATATATATGGTTTAGGGGTGGGGATCTCGACCATTTACAAGATATTAGAACTTTCTCAAATGGCAGGGGGTCGGGATGACCCCTGGGGACTAACCCTGTATATCATTCAAACCATCTTAGCATGACAAACCAGAATATATATGGTTTAGGGGTGGGGATCTTGACCACTTACAAGATATTAGAACTTTCTTAAATGGCAAGGGGTGGGGGTGACCCCTGGGGACTAACCCTGTATTTCATATGATGTGCTTTATCATGACAAACCAGAATATATATGGTTTAGGGGTGGGGATCTCGACCATTTACAAGATATAAGAACTTTCTCAAATGGCAGGGGGTCGGGATGACCCCTGGGGACTAACCCTGTATATCATTCAAACCATCTTAGCATGACAAACCAGAATATATATGGTTTAGGGGTGGGGATCTTGACCACTTACAAGATATTAGAACTTTCTTAAATGGCAAGGGGTGGGGGTGACCCCTGGGGACTAACCCTGTTTTTCATATGATGTGCTTTATCATGACAAACCAGAATATATATGGTTTAGGGGTGGGGATCTCGACCATTTACAAGATATTAGAACTTTCTCAAATGGCAGGGGGTCGGGATGACCCCTGGGGACTAACCCTGTATATCATTCAAACCATCTTAGCATGACAAACCAGAATATATATGGTTTAGGGGTGGGGATCTTGACCACTTAGAAGATATTAGAACTTTCTTAAATGGCAGGGGGTGGGGGTGACCCCTGGGGACTAACCCTGTATTTCATTTGATGTGCTTTGTCATGACAAACCAGAATATATATGGTTTAGGGGTGGGGATCTCGACCATTTACAAGATATTAGAACTTTCTCAAATGGCAGGGGGTCGGGGTGACCCCTGGGGACTAACCCTATATATCATTCAAACCATCTTAGCATAACAAACCAAAATATATATGGTTTAGGGGTGGGGATCTTGACCACTTACAAGGTATTAGAACTTTCTTAAATGGCAGGGGGTGGGGGTGACCCCTGGGGACTTACCCTGTATTTCATTTAATGGGCTTTATCATTTAGAACATTTTCAATTAAAAAGATTGTGTCTATCACAAACGGTTTTCAATTTATAATCATTTGAAAATTTAAAAAAATAAAATCCCATAGGGTTCTATAGTAAAACCCTTTTTTCTTTTTGCCCCTCAAAGTACCCCTTTATAAACCCCATTGCACAAACAAAACCCTGATTGCACCACTAGACATGTTAGTCTAACATATTGTGAAACCCTAAGTTAATCTGACAAGCGGTTTTGGAGAACAGGTGCGGACAAGTTCAAATTTAAAAGCGGCGGAAGAAGAAGAAGAAGAAGAAGAAGAAGAAGAAGAAGAAGAAGAAGAAGAAGAAGAAGAAGAAGAAGAAGAAGAAGAAGAAGAAGAAGAATAATAATAATAATAATAAGAACTGAGCAAAAACAATAAGTCTTCCCAAACTTCGTTTGGGAGACTTAATAACACAAATCAAATACACTACCTACTCATTAATTGCCTAAATTATGCACCTGTGATAGATCCAAGACAGGTGATGCTTTTTTGTTCATAAGAACCTGTGGTAGAGCCCAGACATACACACCATAAACAAACCAGTTTAACAACCCGCCAATGGACCTCTTAGAGGGCTGCCTATAGACCTCACAGGGAGTTGTTGCCTATGGGCCTCTTAGAGAGTTGTTGCCTATGGACCTCTCAGATAGTTGCTACCTATGGACCTCTCAGAGTTGTTGCCTATGGCCCTCGCTGAGAGTTGTTGCCTATGGACCTCTCTGAGAGATCTTGCCTATGGACCTTTCTGAGAGAATTTGCATATTGACCTCTCTGAGAGATGTTGTCTATGCACCTTTGAAGAGTCTGTCAGATGTGAGAAGTATAGGGACACATGGGAGACAAAGAAAATACAGAAGAGGATCAGAAGGTATGGGAGACAAAGAAAAAGTAGAGGAGGAACAGCCGATAATGAAGGAAGTTTAGTAGTGGTATATAAGAAGAAATATACCTGGATGTACTGCATAAGACGTAACTGTATCGTCAAACCATCGTCTGTGAGCCTCCATTGTGAACATTCCGAGTGACGCTTTACTCCTTGCATAAGCTCCGTAGATATCGTAACTGCGTAACGGCAGGTCATCGAAATCAAGTTTGCCCTTCTTAATAGCATCTGAGGCTATGTTGATTATCCGACTTGGGCCACATTTCTTTAGTCTGTCTTGAAGTAAGTAAGTAAGGTAGAAATGTCCAAGATAATTTACCCCAAATGTCCGTTCGTATCCATCATCTGTTGTTGCTTTTGGTCCCAAATAGGCTGAAATATAACAAAAATGAGAGCATTTAATGTAAGTAACATTTTTTCCTCAGACAAGGACACGATGTTTCTGAGTGGCAATGTTGGTGGATGATTAGTCCCCGACGGTTACATTCTCTCAGTAGTCAATGCTTCGCTATTGCATAACTTTAAGTATAATGCTGTACGTGCCAGTCGACTTTAGAGCGAAGCGAGTACTAGTATATAATACATTGATAGTAAACATGTGTAAACCCGCTGCACTTTTATGCACTCGTCCTAAGTCAGGAGCCTGTTGTTCAGTGGTTGTCGTTTGTTGGTGTGGTTCATAAGTGTTTCTCGTTTTTTATATAGATAAGATCGTTGGTTTTCCTGTTTGAATTGTTTTACACTAGTCATTTTGGGGCCCTTTATAGCTTGCTGTTCGGTATGAGCCAAGGCTCCGTGTTGAAGGCCGTACGTTGACCTATAATTGTTAACTTTTTATACATTTTGACTTGGATGGAGAGTTGTCTCATTGGCACTCATACCACATCTTCTTATTTATATACATGGTACATATGGTACAAATAAATGATAAATATATAAAAACAGAAATTTATGAAAACGAAAGGGATAGGCTGTAGACACGCCGGTCTTGCTCCAAGTTCGTCTTGATATAACGTACCTTCGTATTTTATAGGAGTAATACGATGGGCTTTACGCGTGGAGTAATACGATGGGCTTTACATGTGGAGTAATACGATGGGCTTTACGTGTGGAGCAATTTATACAGACCTTTCCGCAGCACTGTACCTAAGATCGCTCTCGTTCTTTTTATGTTGCTCGGTGTTTTGCGGTCTCATTTGTCTTTTCCTCGTTTTTTTCGGGTTTTTTTCCATGGCGTTGTCGGTTTCTCTTGGACTTTTGAGTCCCAAATCTTCTTATATCTATTTGAGGGTCCTCTTTTTAACTTCCGTCTTTTTATTTTTTCTTCTAAATATGTATAATCTCATTTTTCGGATTTTGTGTCATAGGTAATTCAATATTTTCTTCTATTCCATTACCTTACTAATATGAATCGGCAAATAAAAAAACAGTCTTACACATTACATATCCCAAGTTAAGTTAAAACTGTCGTTTACCTGCATTGTTAATCAGTACATGTAAAGCTGACTCCTTTGAAAGAAAATCTTGGACGAATTCTCGGATAGAGCGTTGATTCCCGAGATCTAAATGTGAACAGTAGACAAACGGGTTTCCGGTTTTGATTTTGATGGACCTCGCGACTGCTTCACCTTTGATGTCATTCCTACAAGCAATAATGACTCTAGCATTTCTCTTGGCAAGCTCGTAGGCTGTGGCCTTTCCCAACCCAGTATTTCCACCTAAAATATAACATAAACATAAATGTAATATTATTTTAAACAGATATTTATATAATATTTTTATATCACGCGGCATAATGTTTGCTAAATAAATTGATACATATATATAAATCCTGCACTAATTATCTCTAAAAATTACCTTTCTACAGGGAAAAATTAAAAGTGGCAATAAAATAATCTCAAGTCAAAGAATGACATGCAACCTCATAATAAGAAGAAAAAAGAATAGACAAAACAGGTCAAGTACGCTGTACGAGATAAAAAAACCAACAACAAAAAAACATGAGTCCCAGAAAAGCCGGGGTGTATTTTGGGTATCAGAAAAGCCAGAGTATACTCAGGGTATTAGAAAAGCCAGAGGTGTACTCTAGGTATCAGAAAAGCCGGGGTGTACTCATGGTATCAGAAAAGCCGGGGTGTACTCAAGGTATCAGAAAAGCCAGAGTGTACTCATGGTATTAGAAAAGCCGGGGTGTACTCAGGGTATCAGAAAAGCCGGGTATACTCAAGGTATCAAAAAAGTCGGGGTGTACTTAGGGTATCAGAAAAGCTAGACAGATCCTGTTCCACTGGAGGCATCCATCCTGCTGCTCATGCCATTGAAAATTCTGTGATAAGTCGAATTCCGAGATTTCATAGTAAATCGTATCATCAAATATTTACGTTATCACCATAAACGATTAAAATATTGAAATTAATTTTAGTCCTGAATCTACCAAACGTCTTTAACCTACAAGAATAAAATAACTTGTCATTGTTATATAGTGATGTTTGGAAAATGAGAGGTTATTTAAATGTTGTAGCATGACACTAAAGTATAGATATAAAGTATACGTATCATCCTCCATACGATAAAGTTATCTCAAAGAAGTTATTGCACTTATAAGTGAGCAGACGGCGCTCTATTTCCAATCAAGTGAACTTTAGGGACTAAATATATATCCCCTCTTAGAAGGGCGTTTCATTAATTTTTGTTTGTTTATTTCTTATAAACATTCATGTTGTTGATTAATATGATTTATGTATTTAATTAATGAATGAGCTGTCGGGAAGGGTTTGAATGATCAATTGTTAATGATCAGCGGAAAATATTACACGATATTTAGGATTAGAACATGCATGGTTATAGATATGCATACTTGAACCTTGCTTTGTACAAGGCCGACATGTTGAACCTTATTTAACTTACAAAGTATCCGTCCACAGGAACACATGTACCCCAACCAGAACACATTATGTTGAGTCTGAGCCGTCAAAACAGCCTCGTTCTTAATGATAAATATCGCGTGTGTATGTTCCAAGTCTTGAACCTCGTCGGTAGTTGTCGTATAGCATATCTAAATGTTTTTGCGTTACTGGAAAATGGCAGATTTTTTATTGTTTCTGTTTTTATTCACAACTGTAATGACTCGGAACGTCATATTGTATAGAAACATTTCTTATGTTAAAGAACGTATTTATCCCTCTACATATCTTTTGATTGTGGGTTTTTCCACGTTGGATTGTTGTCTCATTGACGTATACATATCTTTTGATTGTGGGTTTTTCCACGTTGGATTGTTGTCTCATTGACGTATACCCCACATCTCTTCATAATAAGGAAAGAAGCAGCAAATACTAATTGTCTAGCTTGAACATTTCTTTGTGACAAATGTTTGACAATGTGTTAATTTATTACCAATTTTGATCAAGAGAAGATTTGATAAAATCTCTCTGATTCACTGATGTTAAGAACTTATTCCGAGATGACAGCTGAAAACAAAACATCAAACGATTCTTAACGACATCTTAATGACATATTGTAAATCTTAATGATATAGTGTATATCTTAATGATATAGTGTATATCTTAATGACATATTTTACATCTTAATGACATATTGTACATCTTAATGACATATTTTACATTTTAATGACATATTGTACATCTTAATGACATATTGTAGGTCTTAATAACATTGTACAAGCACATGTCTATTGTTGAAGACCTGTGTTGACCTTTACATATCTTGTTTTCTTTTTGTCATTGGGGAGCTGTATTCAACAATTACGTATGTCTCACACAAGGAACAGTTCGGAGTTGGTAATACACAGATATACTGTTGTAGGAAAATATCGGCCCTAAATATACGTCGAGCTCCGGGGCGTAGCTAGACCTAAATGATGTGGATCTACCGCGAGTCTAAAATTTTTTGGACCATGTTATGCAGAAAATAATATTTTTTTTTGGTTTTCAGTCATAGGAGGGTTAAAAGAGGTGCTCAGTGACATAGGACTTATAGACAATTCATGAATGCAAAACTATTCAGAATTCTTTTGAATAGTGTAAATCATGTTAAATTGAATACATAAGCAAAACATTTTTGTTAGACAGAATCTACTTAAAATTGTCCAAAATCTGCTCATCGGGTCGTAGCAGAAACGAAATTCTCCATTACTTTGTCAATATTCACAATGAAATCCCGATGAATATGCATTAATGCTAGCGATGATAACCTATCGTTATTCATGGTTGATCGTACATATGTTTTCAACCGACGTAGTACACTGATAGATCTCTCCGCGGTAGCACTTGTTATCGGCATTGTCAACATGATACTCAAAAGAGTATCTACAGAAGGATACAGCACTCTGGGTTACGATAAATTTGGGTTCAAACGTTGTAATTTACATAATCTATAGTATAATAATAATTGGGGTCTTTTGTTAACAATTCTAATATGACGTGCTTCTTTCGCGTTGTAAACAACACCGTGATAAAATTCTCGATATATCTATACTTAGCGCAGACTCAGAGATATACATAATAATGGATGTTACAATACCTCCCTCGTAAATCCACATGTATTGGAACCTATTTGCAAACGCTATGCCGATTTTATTGTTTTAAAAATTGCAATTGAAAAAAGACTACAGAACTTTTATTCTTATTCGGATGCATAACAAAAAGAATTAATGCACTAGAGCTCGGAGAAATATACAAATTCAAAATAAAATAAAATTCCGCAAAAGTCCATTAATGCTTTTGGCGCATTTAAGTCATTTCAAAACAAGACGTCATACAAATGAAAACGCTAAAGCTGAAGGTTTTTTCGTTCGTGAACCATCGAAATTCGTGTAATACTACATTAAAATGGATTTTTGAGGTAGGTGATGTTTTATTTTCTATTTTATTGCATTATTCGCATATTTACTGATTTTAGCAAGTCAATATGGCGGCTCCTTAGTTACGAAATGTCAACTTTGGATTTGACGGTAGCTTACGAGAAAAAACATGTAAAATAAAAATGGCAAATGTTGGGTTTGAGAATTAAATGAATTAGGCACATTTTTTCTAGCGGTTCTTTACGAAATAATTCATGCAAGCTACAGATTTATTAGAATGTTTTAGCTTTATCTAACAGGGAGTAAAAAAGAACAGTCACACACACGGCACACCCACCCTCGCTTCAGTTTTTTAATGACCGTATTTGTCCTATTAGAATCGAAATAATTCATGGAAGCCATAGATTTGTTGTAAATTTACACATGGCCTGGGCCATGTGTAAATTTCCAACAAATCTATGGCTTTCATGAATTATTTCTTAATTTAATTTAGGACGTGTGTACTTTTCTATATTGACTGTTTTTCAGGGTAGGGATTTTCATAAACACAATCTATTTTTTTTGCCGGTATACTTTTGACTCGGACATGATTTCTACTAATGAATTGGATACAATTTTAAAGTAATTTCCGCATACCCCATTAAATCCAAAGTTTTCCCCTGGCATATGCTATTCCATGATTTTGGGAAACGTTATACACACTTAAAGTGACTTCGGTGCTCCTGTTGTTGATTTGTTTTCCTCTTATAGTTAATGTGTTTCCCTCGGTTTTGGTTTGTAACCCGGATTTGTTTTCTCTCACTCGATTTATGACTTTTGAACACCGGTATACTACTGTTACCTTTATTTGGAAGAATAAAAAAAAAAAACCTCGCCGGGAAGTCAAAATTATTTACATCTTTCCAGTTGGATGTAAGTAATTGCATCTTAACTTCTGTCATCTGCAAATTGGAATAGTGCTGACTTGACGTGTTTGGGTACAGAGGGGTGTTGGCTTTGGAGGTGACGGTCGAAACTGGGCTGGAGCTTGCGGTTGCATTTTCACTATCATGATTTATTCTCTCAGACTTTGGCAAGGATTGTTGGGAAATGGGTTCCTCTTAAGAACCTTTCGTTTCTGTTGAAACGGGTTTTAAAAAAAAAAACTGTCAATAGTTTTCCATTCAGCCTTTTCACCTTTTTCGTTACGTTTCGACGTCATGTCGTGTTCATCGCCGGACATTGTTATGTGCGTATACATATATATCAGAAACGTCATGATTTAAATAAAACGTTCATTTTGAAACTAAATGCCGTTATTTATTGACATTTCATCAATTAAAAAAGCGACAACATATATGTGTTTCCTTTAAACATTTTATTCATGCATTCCCCCCCCCCCTTTTAATTTTGTTTCTGCATGCCGAAGTGTACGCAGCTGCGTGTTGGTGTATAGGGAGCTACGCGCCTGGAGCCTCAGCTTTCTGGATAAAAATGAAGTCCTGTGCTCCACTAATTGGTAGATAATGTTTGTAATAAATATTTTTGATAAGATGTATCAAAACGAGATTTAAAAAAAAATGCTAAATGCACTTAATGTTTTTACTATAGATTTGAAAAGTAATGGGGGTCAGTATATGCAATCAGTGCGAATCTACCGTGTTTGTAAACAAGGCCATGTGAATGTAAAAAGCCGCATGACCCTATGTTTTGAATATTGCAAATGATGGGGCTACATTTGTGCTTTAATGAGTTGTATATGAAAGCTTTGGATTTTTTAAAGGTAAACCAGGTATAAATTTAATTCAAGAAATAGGTTTGCAATTTAGTCAGTGGGAGATTTTTTTACTGAATTTACCCCTATAAAAGAACAAGTTCGTCTTACCATGTTTCCAGATCACCTGACATTACATAACT